AGACATTCCTCTGGTATTCTTTGCTTTCAGCCAAGATCCATCTAACATCAGCTACAATATCTCTAATACCACGACCCCTTCTGAAACCAGCCTGGACTTCTGGTAGCTCTCTGTTGATGTGCTGTTCCAGTCGTTTTTGGATAATCTTCAGTAAAATCTTGCTTTTTTCCCTATTTCTTCCACCCACTCCCGCCCCCCTCCAGTCCACTTGACTATGCACCTCTTATTCTGGATTATTGTCATGCAAGTAATACTTATCATATATTTCTTTTTCTTTTTTTTTTTATGTGTACCGTCTGGATAGAAGAGCATATAGAGCTATTGTACATAGGGTCGCTATGAGTTGCAAGTGACTCTATGGCACATAACAACAACAACCATCAAATCAGATCTGACTGGTACAGGAGGAGATTGCCCCCTCCTTCTCCAGCAGAGCATCTGGTGGATTTGAACCGTGTACCTCTGGGATTGCAGTGCAGCGTGTTGCATATATTTCTTTTAGACAGTTCTTGCCCTCATTGATTTAAATGTAGTGTTCATTACTTATCCCCTCTTTTCTTACTTTTCCTCCAACCCCCTTGTCAGTCCTGTTTTATAACAGTTGCATTATGAAGTATTTGTCGTTTTGTGATAGAGATATTTCACTCAGCATGATGTCCTCCAGGGTCACACTTCACGTCACTTTTTTTTAATTTGTGTGTGTGTGTGTTTGTGTGTGTGTACCATCAAATTGGATCTGACTGGTACAGGAGAAGATTGCCCCTTCTCCAGCAGAGCATCTGGTGGATTCGAACCGCACACCTCTGGGATTGCAGTGCAGCTTCTTGCTACTAGGCCACCAGAGCTCCCTGCTTCATGTCACTCCTAAGACTGGGCTGTTGATGCTCATGATGCGGGTCACGCCTGCCATTACATAACCCTGACCAGGTGACTCACCTAATAATAATAATAATCATAACAACAAAATAATAACCAAAACAACAATAATAACAAGTGGCACCATGTACATCAGCTGCGTGTGACCCACAGGTCCCTAATCTGAGGCCACAGGTCGAGATAGACGTCAGACTTCAAGATTTTCAAGTTGTGGAAAGATACCACAGGGCATGTGTCATTTGTCACGTGGCACTTTACTGGAGCCTGGGGCCACAACAAGTAGTACAATGCTTTAGTCTTCTGACGTTAGCCTTCATGAGTGAATCTTCCTCATAAGTGAGGTGAGGAAAAGACTTCTAGCCATCATGTACTTAGGTGCCCGAATGAATGTGCCTAGAACACAGCGTGAAAACCTTTGATTTGACACATCTCTGGAGTTTAGAACTGTAGAGAAGAAACATCCCATTGAAGGGTGGATGGTGGCTTGTTTAACCAGACCTCTGCTGTCCAAGCCTTGCTGGGATAATTTTGTACACGTCCCTTTTACTCTGAAAGGGTAAATGTGCAAATGTGGGATTTCAATTCCACCTCCCGGAGTGGGATTTTCACATGGAAGGAGACAAAGTTAGAAGTGGATTTTGAAAAGCTCACTCTCGCCACTGTGCGGACAGCTCTCTGATGGGATGGGAGGGCTACATGTGCGTTAGAATCAACACCATGGAAGTGGGTTTGGAAGGAGATTGGTCAGCGCTGGGGAAGGCTCCTGGGGTTTTGTTCCCGATAGGAGGCGGGCTCCCTGGTGATATGACCCCGTCTTCCCCTCTAGGCTCGGACATCATCATGCAGTTGGATGATGTGGTCAGCAGCACTGTGACGGGGCCGCGCGTGGAGGAGGCCATGCACAGGTGCACTTTCGTGGATGTGCCTGTGTGTGGCGGTGGGGGGGGGGGGTGGTGGTGGACCCTGGTGCTGTCCCAGCATCTCCCTTTCCTCAACAGGCCCCTGGGGGCCATGACTGGATCCTTCTTTCAGGTCTGTCCGTTGGCTGGACCGGTGCATTGCTGCCCATCGGCAGCCAGACAAACAGAACCTGTTCGCCATCATCCAGGGTGGGCTGGACATGGATCTCCGGTCTACCTGCCTCGAAGGTAAAGCCAGGGGCCAGCAGGGCCAAGGTTTGTCCTTCACTGAGGCCGCAGGTGCCCCTCACATGGTGCTCAGGTAGCTGTCACTGCAGGTGAAAGGCTGTTCTAAGTGGAGGCCGGAACCAGGGCCCAGGGACAGCATGATCTAGAGCATGTTGAAGGAATCGTAAACCCCAGTAGCTGATGGGTTGGGGACATTCTCTTGGTACTGAGGTGACTCATGGGGTCTTCCCAGCCATGCCCTAATACGAGGGCAGATTCCCGGGCTCCCAAGTTGACAGATGGGAAAGTGAGGCACGAGCCAGGACATCACTCACCCTGGACACACAGCTTGCTTGTTGCAGAGCCGGGCTGTGGACCCAGGCCTCCAGACTCCAGAACCTGCCTCACCACGTGCTCCATGGTGCCGCTCGCCGGGGAGGACACACAGGGTCAGGTGCTGGGGAGCCATGGCGGGTGACTGAGCAGGAGGCTGATAGGAAGTAAGGAGTGTCGCTGAAAAACAGCGCAGCGGTGAGAATGGCTGTGGTCCAGACGTAGCGAGTACTGTGTGTTTGGCTCTGCTTCTCAGCGCTTGTCAGGTGTCCTTAATTCTTGTAACTATCTGCCCCATGCAGCGTTGAGTTGCCCGTTTTACAGATGAGGAAACTGAGAACCGAAGCATTGAAGTCACCCAAACGTTATAACCCAGCATAGGGACTGGCCCAGGATCCGAGCTCAGACATGGCCAGTGACAAAGGCCTAGAAAAGGAGGACAGGAGGCCCATGGGGGGCCTAGAATGTGCGCCCAGGGTGACAAAGGAGCAAGCAAGCAGTGAGCCTGGTGATGAGGGAGGGACAGACGGACCTCAGGCCTCTGGGACAAGACTGTGGACTCCATGGCCACTCAGCTCAGTTACAGACGCTGATCTGCTTTGCGGTTGCACGCCCAGTGGGTTTGCCAGTTCTGGCCTCACTTTCTTCCTCTGTGAAATGGATCACTTCCAAAGTCATGGGGTTGAAGCGAGGATGCAGTGGGGTATCTGCACACTGCCTCCACCTGGTTACTGTCCTGGTTGTGGTCACTCTCGATCCCCAAGTCCCTCCGTCACCCTGTGCTGGCCCTGATGTCCACTTCCCATCACAGGGCAGCACCTGCAGGTGTGCGTGCAAAGGAACCCGAGGCTGCAGGCAGCGTGACCCTTCTCCGTGTGACGCTTTCTGGCATTTCTGTTTGCTCTTACAAACAGCACTGCTGGTTTCTCTGGACAATTCCTTTCCCCTCCTGTGCTTGAGAATGAACTCTCATTGCAACTGTGGCTTAAGCATTTGGCTAGTAAGAAAAGGTTTGGTGGTTCAAATAACCAGCTGCTCCAAGGGGGAAAGAAATGACCATCCAGTTCACAAAAGCTCACAAGCATGGAAACCCTCTAGACGGTTCTCCCCTGTCCTGAGGGGCTAGTCACTGAGTCAGGGTTGATGAGATGGCAGTAGGTGTTTTTGAGGTTCCCTGGAGGTTCGGGAGAAGTCGGTCCCTGGAGAAGGACATCATGGTTGGAAAGGCAGACGGTCAGTGAGAAAGAAAGACATTAAATGAGACGGATTAACACAGACACTGTAGCAGTGGTGGAGCTGATGGTGAGAATGACGCACAACCCATGGGGGCATGTCAGTTAGACTAAGAAGAACTAGGGCGTCCCCTAGACAGACAGACAGACACACACACACACTCACTCTCTCTCTCTCACTCTCACGTTTCCCCTTTTCCGAAGGGACTGCTTATCTCACAGGGACTGTCTAGAGAGCAGGACATGCTTCCCCTTTGCCCAGCTGTCCTCACCCTCCCTGCCTTGTTGTCCCCAGAGATGATTAAGAGAGACGTGCCAGGCTTTGCCATTGGGGGCCTGAGCGGAGGCGAGAGCAAGAACCAGTTCTGGAAGATGGTGGCGTTGAGCACCTCGAGGCTTCCCAAGGACAAGCCCAGATACCTCATGGGGGTCGGGTGAGTGGAGGAGAGAGGAGAGGGGCTCCCGCCTGCGGGGAGGGGCTCCCACCTGTGGGAGGGGCTCCTGCCTCGGGGAGGGGCTCCCGCCTGCGGGAGGGGCTCCTGGGGGTCCCAGGGGTTGGCAGGGGAAGAACACAGCCCTGGGCTGGGAGAGGCGGCATTATGGAGGGTGTGGCCCTGAGGTGGTGAGGGTCCAGCCCACGGAGCCTGACGGTGGGGAGGAGGACCCTGGCCCAGGGTTTGAGCTTCACAGTACCCTTTCCCCGTGGCCTCGCCCGTGGCCTCCCCCCAGCTACGCCACTGATCTAGTGGTCTGCGTGGCTCTCGGATGTGACATGTTCGACTGCGTCTTCCCCACGCGGACGGCGGTGAGGCCCTGGGCTGGGGCAGGTCAGGGTGGAGTGGGGGTGGCCAGGAGGAGGTGGGGCGGGAGGCCCAAGACTTGGGTGACCCTCTCTGTTTCTAGCGCTTTGGCTCCGCCCTGGTGCCCACCGGGAACCTGCAGCTGAGGAAGAAGCAATATGCGAAGGATTTCCGGCCCATCAATGCCCAGTGCACCTGCCCCACCTGCCAGAAGTAGGCGTGGCCTGGGAGCTGGGGGGTTCGGGGGCGGGGGCAGCACCCAGCGTGGCTGACCGAGAGCCCCTGACCTGACCGCAGGCACAGCCGGGCCTTTCTGCACGCACTGCTGCACAGCGACAACACGGCCGCCCTGCACCACCTGACTGTCCACAACATCGCCTACCAGGTGGGGCTGACGCCGGGAGAGGGCGAGGGAGGAGGGGGCTCCAGCCTCGAGGTTGAACTGGCAACCCCCTCCCCGCAGCTGCAGCTGATGAGCTCTGTGCGTGCCAGCATCGTGGAGAAGCGCTTCCCCGACTTCGTGCGGGACTTCATGCGCACCATGTACGGAGACCCCACCCTCTACCCAGCCTGGGCCACTGAAGCCTTCGCTTCCGTGGGAATCACGCTGGATGACCCGCCGGGGGCTCCCCGGCATTGGGGCGTGGGGGGCTAGAAGATATTGAAGGACTGGTTTTTTTAATTCTACCTTGTCATGTCTCTGTGTCTTTTTGGGGAACACCCCTACCTTATCCACTTCCAGGTCTGAGTACCCCGTGACAGTGTCCCCCATTTCTTGATCGAGCAACAGCGTGTAGAAGGGGCCCAAGGTGGGGGGCTGTACCCCAGGCCCTCCCACAATTCTGGAGGCACGAGGAGAGAACTGAGGCCCAGAGAGAGTGCATAGCTTGCCTGAAATCACCTACTGAGGGAGAAGCCCACACAAGATTTGAACTCAGGCAGCTCAGACTCTGCTGCCTCCGACTGCTTTTGAGTTGCCCAGGAGCTTAGAGACCCCAGTGCTAGAGTGCACTCACCTGTCAGGTTCTCTTGGCTTTACCTTTATAGACAGAAGGCATCATGCTTTTCTCCCACGGCGCTCTTAGGTAACTGAATCCACCGGGCTTAAGGTGGGCGAAAACCCACAGGAAGCCATTGACTGGGACAAGGCTGACTCAGCCACCCTTCCAAGCAGGATAGAACTGCTTCCGATGGTGGCCGCAGCTGTAAGTCTCTGAGCAATCAAATGGCCACATTTTTCTCCCACAGAGTTTCTGGTGGATTCAAACCACTAACCCTTTGGTTAGCACCCAAGCACCTAACCACGGCACCACCAGGGCTCCCTACACAATCTTACCGCTGTCAAGTCATTCCAGAGACAGCTGGCCACTCCATCCCCCAAACTGCATTCCTCCTGCACCGGTTCTGACTCGGTGATCCCACAGGGCGGGTCCCGGTGCGCCATCGGGAAGTCGCCCCGGGCTGTCAGTCTTACAGCAGGACATTGCCTCATCTTCGCTGCATCCCCAGTGAGGCTGGTGGGGCCTCCTGGCTTTCGGGGTGAGTGACCCCAGCTTGTCTTACTAAGCCCACGGTCCTCCTAAGAGCTGTTGTCACTCACTCATTGCTGTTGAGCCGGAACCAACTCAAGGCCAAGCTTCCACTGGATTTCTGAGGGTGTCAATCAGACAGGAAGGGTCCCCAGAGCAGCTGGGGGGCTAGACCCTCCAGAGGGCGACACCCATTAGGTTAACTGCCACCTCCGTACAGATTCCACCACCGCAGCTGCCCCGCGACTCTGTTGGTGGGTGCAAACTGTGTGTGCTGCCCGGACACCTGCCCGCACACGCATGATGGCCACGTCTTATGGGGTGGGCCAGCTTTCACTGTCTGGCACTACCTCAGTGTTGGTCATGTATGTTTATATGGAATTAGGTTCCCTATCTTACACATGAGGAAAACGGAGGGGCCAGAGCAGGGCTGTCACCTGGTAACTGAGTGACTCATCGCTGTCAAGTTGAACGTACTCCAGTGGGCTGTCAGAGGCTGTACGTCACATGATAAGACATTGTCCGTCTTTCTCCCGAGGAGCAGCTGGCGGATTCGAATCTGCATTCCTTTGGGTTGGCATTGCAAGTTCTTACTCACTAGGCCACCACCAGAGCACCTTCGATGACTTGGCCATTGTCACCTAGCAAATAAACAGGCCCAGGCTTCCAAGCCAGATACGACCAATTGCAAAGCTGATGCTGTTAGAAAATAGGCTTTTGTGAATTGAAGAAAAGGATTGGTGTGTACGATCAATTCAAACAGAGCCAAAATGTCAACTATTAAAAAGCTCAGCTAGGATGTTTGTCTCTAGAGATTTTCCACGGACTTTAATGTTAGTGTACTTGCAAGCATTCCTGTGACTTGCTTTTAAAAATTGTTATTGTTGTCACATGCTCTATGGGCGAGTTGGTGCCAACATATAGCAAGAGCCTCCACTGGGTTTCTGAGGCTGTGAATCGTAGCTGGAGGCAACTGTCCATCTTCCTGCTAATAAACTGCTGGTGGGTTTATAACTATCTTAGAAACCTGTGTGTACGTCAGCACTTCCTCCTTCTCTGTTAGCTATGCTGTTTTACTAAGGAACTAAAGAACAAATTCAAGCCTCGAGATGCAGTGGATGCTCAAGGCAGATTTCCAAATGATCTGGGAAGCATTAAAAGTAGATGGAAGGAGTGGACAGAGTCACTGTACCAAAAAGAATTGGCTGACACAAGAATTTCAAGAAACAACATTATGATCAAGAGGCAATGATGATGAAGGTGGAAGTTCAGGCTGTAGTGAAGGAATTGGCAGAAAAACAAGACTCCAGGAACTGGTAGAATACTAATTGATATATTTCAACAAACAGTTGCTTCCCTGGATGTACTCACCAGGTTGTGCCAAGAAATCTGGAGGACCTGGCCAACCGACTGGAAGAGATACATATTTATTCTCATTAAAAAAAAAAAAAAGGAAAAAAAGGTAACCAGACAAGAGGGTGAAAATTACCGAACAGTATTGCTAATATCACACACAAACAAAATCCTGCTAAAGATTATCCAGAAATGACTGGAACAGTATATGGACAAAAGTTCCAGAAATGCAAGCTGGATTTAGAAGAGGTCGTGGCACTAGAGACATTATTGCCAGTGTCAGCTGGATCTTGGCCAAAAGCAAAGACTACCAGAGGAATGTTTATGTGTGTTTCAGTGACCATATAAAGGTATTTGACTGTGTGGATCACAACAAATTGTGGCTAACCTTGAGAAAAGGGGAATCCCAGAACACTTGATGATGCTCACGTGAAACCTCTACTAGGACCAGGAAGTAGTTCTTAGAGCAAGGAAACACTGCATGGTTCAAAATCAGGAAAGGAGTGCAGCCATCCTGTCTCCATACCTTTCCAATCTATATGCACAGATCATTCAGGAGGTAACTTTATGAGGAGGAATATGGCATTAGGATTGGAGGAAGACTGATCAACAACCTGTTATGTTGATGACAAAACCTTGCTTGCTGCAACTGAGGAGGACCTGAAGCAGGAAGTCAAGGATTGTAGTCTTCAATATGGATTGAAGCTTAACATCAAGAAGACAAAAGATTCCCACCACTGGGACACCTGGCAGCACCATGATTGAAGGAGAAGAGACTGAAGTGGTTAATTTCAGGTTGCTTGGCTTTACAATCAACACTCCTGGCACCACCTGTCAGGAAGTCAAAGGATTAATTACACTGGAGAAATCTACAGTCAGGGACTTCTCTAGAGTACTAAGAAGCAATGATGTCAGTCTAGAGACTAAGGTGTGCCTAATCCAAGCCATGGTCTTCACAATTACTTGCTGTAACAGAGTTCTGGACAATAATGAAGGATGACAGAAGGAGAATTAATACCTTTGTATTGTGGTGCTGGAGAAAAGTCCTGAACATACCATGTACTGCCAAGAAGACAAACAGGTCTGGCTTTGAGAGAGTGAAACCAAGTTTCTACTTGGAGGCTAGGATTTTGAGGCTCCATCTCACATACTTTGGGCATGTGGCCAGGAGGGACTGATCATTAGAGACTGACATCATGCTTGGAAGGGTAGAGGGACAACAGAGGAGAGAAAGACCCCAGATGAGATGGACTGATACAGTAACTGGGGCAATGGGGGTAGGTATGTTGGAGTTAGTGAGACTAGATCAGGATAGGGGATGCTTCAGAGCTGTTGTACCTAGGCTTGCCATGAGTCACAGGTGACTTAAGGCATATAACAATAACAACCACCACCAGCCCTTGCAGATGGGTTTGTTAAGAATATTTCAAGGTTTGTTTAGTTCATTTCAAAGTTGTAGTGCCTTAACCTCAGTGATCTTTCTGAGAACTTGGGTTTGGAGTGATACGCCTCTGCCACCCTGTGCACTTAATTCTCCATCCTCCGGTTGTTACTTATCTACTTATCGCCTGCCTTCTATCTCCATGCCCTTATCAACTCGCTGGGTTCCCTGGTTATCACTTATCCCCTGCCTTCTCTCTCAATGCCTTATCAACTCGCTGGCTTCTTGGCTCCATCCTACCTGTTTGGAGAAGGACCAAAGGCTTTACTAAAATCCTACCTATGTCTGGCATCTGTTGTTCCAAGAGGCCCTCAAATCTGCATGCAAAAGAACATGTCTTCATGGGAAGAAGGTCCGTTGTGTCTCATTGGGTTTCTAAGGACCCTTGCTGCATGAAAGTGTAACAGGTAGGAGGTAGGGGAACAACATTGAAAGTTACTGTGTTACCACTCTGGTCTAAGCAGGAGATCTTCCTAGATTTGCACAGGGAAGAATTGATGCCTTTTAGCTGTGGTGCTGGAGAAGAGTATTGAATATATCATGGACTGCCAAGAAAACAAACAGATTCATCCTGGAGAGGGTTAAACCAGCCTGCTCATTGGAGGCAAGGATTCTGGGGCTTCGTCTGACCTACTTTGGACATGTTGTAAGGAGGGACAGGTTCTTGGAGAGGGACATCATGCTTGGGAGGGTGGAGGGACAGCCCAGGAGGGGAAGACCCTCTATGAGGTGGATTGATTCAGTGACTGGGGTAATCGGGATGGGTGTGTCGGGGCAGTGTGACAGGATAGAGCAGGGTTTAGGTCTGTTGTACATAGGGTCACTATGAGTCGCAAGCAACTCCACGGCACATAACAACAACAGTTGTAAATGCATGGAGCGTGACTTTATGATGCATTGTTTTTTGTTAGGGAGCACTAACATTACCCCCCGCAAAAAAACCCAAAAAACACCCAAACAAACCCTACTCTTGGAAGTGCGACGTTCCCCGTGTGGAGATGTATTTTGGGATTTGTAGTTTTATGTTGAGCTCTGACAATTTGAAGAATGATGATTCTCACCAGGTTCCACCACTAGATGTCGCCCCTCGGCGAGTGCCACTGTAGAAGATGCCCTACTAGACACCCAGGAATCACAAGAGCCGTGTGACCTTGATTGACAGATACCATTCTCAATCAGAATTAGAATACCGATGTTAAAGCCCTCCCTCTTCTGCTTTAATGGCTCAGGAATTGGAGTGATATTTATTTAAGCCAATGAGAGTTTTTGAGGAACTAGGCAGAGTGAAGTGACAAACTGGTGTCTACAAGATCGATCCCTAACATCATTGGCAACTTTGTCGACTGGCAAGTCTTTCTGCCAGTAGGATGGTGAAGTGGTCCTCTATGGGCGAAGCCAAACTGCTTTTTCCTGAAACACCGCCTTCCAGCCTTGACAACTTCGCTTCCACCCTCATTGGTTCTTGCGTAACAATGACAGTTCCTGTGTCCAATGAGACTACTAGAAACGCTCCTGGGCAAGGCTTATTCAGCCCTAAACTCGTGCCTTGCTGCTATTGGTTACTGCTCCCGAGTGGCAGACTGGCCGACCAATTAAGAACGGCGCTATGTCTTTAAGTGCAGCCCAGGGGCCCGGGCGGGAGGTCGCTCGGGTCGGGTGTTGCCTGAGAACCGGATGAGGCGGCGACCGTGAGGCCGAGCCGGGAGCGTCGCGTCGCGCCGAGGCCCGGGCGGGCGGGGAGCAACGGCCGCGGGCGCCGCGGGGCCGTGTCGTCGTTGAGTCAGGGGCGGGCGGGGAGCGCTGGGCGCTCGGGCCGGAGCAGCCGGCGCCATGGGCAACCGCGGGATGGAAGAGCTAATCCCGCTGGTCAACAAGCTGCAGGACGCCTTCAGCTCCATCGGCCAGAGTTGCCACCTGGACCTGCCGCAGATCGCCGTGGTGGGCGGCCAGAGCGCTGGCAAGAGCTCGGTGCTGGAGAACTTCGTGGGCCGGTGAGCAGGCGCCGCGGGCACGGCGGGCGGGCGGCGGCCTAGGGCGCGGAAGGCGGCCGGGAATGGCGCGCCCTGCGCTGCAGGCGTAACTGCGGCGCTTGCGTGCCCGGGACGGGGACGGGGAGGCGGGCCCTGGGGAACGCCCCGGCTTCGGGCTCTTTGCAGGGGGCTTGGAGCGGGCCCGAGCCCCAGGACGTCCCTCCAGCTGGGGGGCGTGGGGCAGGCGGTGCCGTTGACCGCAGGGGCGCCTAGCTTGCCTCTCTTGCCTTCTTGGGTAAACTGTCTTCGGGATCGGGGTGGGTCCCCCTCTTCCCATCAGTCCCATCTCTCGGGGCGAACCTGCCATCTCGATAACTATTGGGGAGCCCCCTGCGGTCTGGCTGGACTATGGGGCAGCTTGCTCTGGCTGACTGTCTGCCTGCCTCTCTTACCACTGTTTGGCAGTCCGTCTGTCCACTCCCCCAGGCAGCCCCCTGTCGATTGGCTAGCTGTCTGGGATGACCTCTGCTGCCCCTGCTGCCCTCCACCATCTGACTGGCTGGCCAGAACCACGGAGGACCCCAGTGTCCTGTTCTCATGGGCTGACACAGGTTTTGGGTTCTTGGCAAACCCTGGCTCCTCTCTTCCAAACATCCTTCCTTCTGCCCTGGTGGACCCTCTGTCCATATTTTAGTCTGACCACTACAGTACCAGCGGCTCCCAGCTTTTCAGCTGTCTGGCCTAGAAAAGAGGGCATAGGGGAGAAGGAAGGGGCTTTGGATTCCTTTTACTCTCACTTGGAAGTAGGACCTGGGGAACTTCCTCCATCTGGAAGATGCTGGTCCCCAAGTTTAAGCCTGCAAATTGGGGGTGCTCCTTTTAGCCAGGGCGAGAGCTTCTTGCCTTGTCAGGCTTCAGTTGGCATGAACTGAGAAGTTATTTCCCTGGAACTGCTCTAGAGAAGGGTCAGTGTGCTCCTCTGTCCAACTCCAGGATATTTCTAGGATTCAGGGAGCCCCTGAGAACCGGGGAGCCCCATCTCTTCTTCTTCCTTCGTAAGCGCTTCTCTGTTATGAATGGGATTCCATTTGAGGCTGTGTGGCCACTACTGGTAACGTCGTCAACCTTTTTGTTATTATCATTGTTAGTATATCAAGCGCAAACATTGTCAAGCAGGTCCCAGCCCAGTTCATTCCTCTGTTCAGCATCTTGAATTGTTTGATGAGCCAGTGGTTTGTTAGCATCCTGAACGTAGAGATGAGCCAGGAGGTTCAGATTCACCTCTTCCAAGGCCAGCACATTGGCGCCCAGAACAGCTGCTGCCTTCCCAGGGGCCTGAGCTTGTGCTGCCTGTGGTATTAACTTCCTCCTGTGCTGCATGCAGTGTCTCTGGCGTCACCCTCTGTCCAGTGTGGTGGGAAGCTGTGGGCTTGGACTCAGCCAGGCCGGGTTGTGGGCCCCTCGGCGTGGCCAGCTTCCTGCTTGCTTCTGGTGGGCGTCAGTGAGGCTGTCTTCCTTCCATTTGCTGCGTGACTTTGTTTTGATTGCTTGACCTCTCTGGGCCAGGCTGTTTCAAGGATGCAGTGACATGGCATGTTGAAAGCGCTTGCTTGTGGCCGAGCCTGACAGGGCTGTTGATCACTGGGTTAGTTCCGCCTGCAACAGTCAGAACTGATGAGGACGGTGCTTTCAGATAGAACAGGCTGCATGTCATCATTGCACAGAGCAGGAGACTGAGGCTCAGATCAGAGCTTAGGGCGGCTTACAGAGGACTCCAGGCCTTTTCATTGGCAGCTTTGATCTCTCTTCCTCCTCACCTCTCCTGACTCCTTTGGTGATTGGCAGCCCCTGTGGCAGCCGCCTCCCCAAGCCCCCCAAAACCCCAGTGCCCTGGAGTGGAATCTGACTCATGATGACCTTATTGGATGGTGTCAGACTGCCCCGGAGTGATGCCAAGGCTGTGAGAGTTGAAGGAAGGAGACAGTCACAATCTTCTCCTAAGGAAGAGCTGATGGCTTTGAACTGCCGACCTTTTGGTTAGCAGTTGTGTCCTTATCCCTTGTCCCACTGGACTCCTTAATCACCGCTCTGCAGTGAGGCATTGGAGCTTAAAAGCATGAGATCAGTGCCTGGAAAGAAAAGCTGTTAAAAGGCCTTTCTCTGGGAGATTAAATTCTGTTAGAATTTAAATGTGGTTAAGGCCTCTCAGCTTCAAAGCTCTGCTCAGAGAGGGAACATTTTGTGAAGTTAGCCAAACTGTGTCACTGCTCACAGCCTGCGTTTTCCCCCCGTACATGGTGAAGGGGACGGGTGTCAGAGTAAACGAGAGAGCATGCTTCAGGGGTCAGCACGGCCTGTCCTGTCCTGTCCTGTCCTGTCCACTCCTCCTGTCCCTTGTGTAGGAACGTGGCCCTAGGAGGGAGTGACCCAGATAACCCAGGGGCTGCAGGAGCAAGGCCTGTCCGAGGGGCTTCCTGACCCACCTGCATGGTGTTATACAAAGTTTAGCTGCCAAACATTTAACGATTCGATTTCGAGTGGGTGGGGGGTGGGGGAGAAAAAAAGAGATTCGATTTCACATCAATATCTGGTTTTGTTGAAGTACCTTAAAGTTTGGTGGTGTGGTGTGCAGGCCTGGACAAGGCTCTGTGCCACCAGGCTTGGCTGGACACACCTTGGTAGAGGGCGCTTGAGTTTTTGGTCTCGGTCCCTTTCCTGTAGGATGGGCTCAATGACCGGGCCCTCCTGGGAAGCAGGGTGAGGTAACGCGTTAGAGTAAATGGAAGGGCCTGTGCCCACAGCTGCCGCTGTTATCGTCATCGTTATCTGGCCCTGCTGGGCCTGTGTCCCGTTGGGCACCAACCGCTGTCTCCAGCCTGTTTGCGCTACCCCAGTCCCCACCTCTCCCTAGCGTTCACGCAGGCCTGTTTCGTGTATTCCTGGAATCTCCTGACCCAGACGCCGTTGGGACTGAGATCTGTGGCTTGTCTGCACTGATATCCCGGTGTGAAGGGGGTCTCTGCACTTGTCATTTGCCTTCTGGAGCTGGGAGAGGGCAAGGGAAGGGGCTTGGGAAGTTCTTTCCTTGGGGAAGAGTGGGATGTTGAGGCCTCCAGCTCCGTCTCCAGCCACCAAGCCTCCATTTCTTTGGCCATTAACAACGTCTCCTCCTGGGCTGCAGTCAGTGCTGCATGCATTGCTTAACATCCGGGCTACCTTCAGTGAAATAGGATGTCATGTGGTTTGGACATTGGTTGAACCCCATACTATATCCTGGCAGTCCCTGTAACCAGCAGCTCAGCATATAATGCACAGGATTCCTTTAACAAACATGGTAGAAAGTGCTAACTGCGATGGGGACAGAAACAGGGCAAAAGAGAGTGCTTACAGTATCCACTGGGCTGGTCAAGGCCTTCTCTCCTCAGGGAGGTGACATGTGCATGGACACACACTTGAAGGAGGTGAGGGTGGGGAGGTGCAGTGGAATATTCTGGCCTGTCGGCTTTGAAAGCAGTGCAAAGGCCCTGAGGCAGGTTAAGGGACCAGGGTTGGGCAGAGGGCAGCTTCCCAGAACCTTGGCAGCCTGGGAGGGCAATGAACTGAGGAAAAGTAGTTGGTTACAATCTTCCTGGCTCTGGATTGGGAACATTGAGGCCCTTTGCTCTGCTTAGAATAATCCTAATTTACTCTCTAGTCATTTAACACAGCAATCCTCGGATATGTTTCCAAGGCTGTAAATCCTTATGGTTGGAGACTGGTTACCATTCTTTTTCGGTGTGGATGGATTGGAACTGCTGACATTTCTGGTAGCAGTCTGTTGTGTTACATGGTATGCCACCAGCACTCCTTAATCCTAAATTGACCACTTTTTCCTCTTGTTTTCTCTGTGAGCAGACCCCCAGTGCTTTCAGAGGGCCTGTGCTGTTTTCCTTTTAACAAGAAGCAGCTGGCTGTGGGGTGCCACTGTCTCCAGCTGCATTTCCGTTTGGTCTTTGGTGATTTGACGTTCCAGGTGGACAGAGCTGCACTGACACTTCCTGTCCTGGCCAGTCCCAGGGGCCTTGTGGGCTGCCTGGTTCCTTAATGGACCTTCACTGTTTGAACTCACTGGAAATGATGGCTGCTGTCTCCATGGTTGTCAGAATGCAGGTGCATTTCAAGGCCTGGGACAAGGCTCAACCTGTGTGGTATGGGGTACCTGGACCAGCCTGGAAGGATCTGCCCTGCACTAGACCAGTGACCATACTTATCCAAGCCTCAGTTTTATATTCTGGAAAATGGGGGCGTGGTAGTCCCCACCTCCCAGAGGTGGTCTGAAGATCAAGTGAAATATTAAACTTTGTTCTGTTGCTGCCTTTTGAGGTCTTGGTGGTGGTGGTGGTGATTGTTGTTGTTATGGGCCATCAAGGTGACATTAGTGACCCTGTGACCAACAGATCTGCACCTTGTCCTGTGTCCACCTCGTGACTCATGACAGCCTTCCTGAAACAGAACGAAATGACAGTGCTGGAGCCCTGTGCCATCTTGGGGTCAGTCTTTGGCCCCTTCGGGGGGCTCTAAGAGAAGGAATGATTACTTTGTTGATAGAGGGAACATCACTTTAGCATAGACACAGACTGCACGCCTGTCAGTCATTATCCTATCAGGGGACACAGCTGGGACCAGGACACCTGTATCCTCTTCGGAACAGGTGTGAGCGCTGCGAGGAGGCTGTTCCTTCCCTGCTCCGAAGCCGGAATCCTGGCTGCAGCCCAGCCTTTAACCCTCACCCAACCTGTGCATGGTGGTGGGCAGCTGGGAGCCAGGACGCCTAGTGCGAGGGGTTGGGTAGCCACGTGCGGATAACTGACCGCCATGGCTACTCACTGTCTAACGGAGGCCGACATAGTGACGCAGGAAGCCATCTACCTGAGATGAAGCGCGAGCCCATCCCGCTCACAACAGAGTTGGCAGTTTTTGCTTGGAGAATAGTACGTTTATATCAGTGGGATAGAAGGATTTTGAAATGGATAGAATTGAAT